TTTTTCGCCCTTTCACTTTGGTGAAAAACAACTCCACCAGGGGAATGCAGTGATTAGGGCTTCCTCAGCAGAGGCTATTCGAGACGCTTGGTCGTATGGGAGCATTTCGCGAGTTACAATGGAAGAGTAACCAGTCGCAACCCTAGACACCCGCCCCCGACCATACTGAGGATATCGGAGGCAGAATAAAACTGGCATTAAAAACGGTATATGAACAATTTGAGGTTGATACTAGTCACTGTATGTAGGGTAAGCCAATTGGATTTTGAGCAACCACTCGAGATCTGGTGAATCGGTTTGAGAAATCGTTGGGCGTTGCATGAGTTAACTAAATAATCAACTTGATCATTGAGCACACGTCAACGGGACGTTAAAACACACCAAGTATCTCCGTAGCACCTATATAATGAAGACCAATAAGGATATATGATGCCTCAAAAAGCGCCCAAATTGGGTTAATTTCCGATAACTCGATTACTCCCTTCACTGAAATCGATCCATTCTACTTTTTTACGAGACACCACGATCAATCAGCGAAAAACATACGCGGTCACCTCACCCAATTACGCTCAGCGCGAAACTTTAGTGCAAACTAGAAGTACGCTGTAAACCGAACGAATAAACCCCAGGATTGTGGGGGAATAATGAGATGCGCACATAGAAGTGGCAAAGCACAAAAGCTGATTGTCAAAATGTGAAAATAAATGAACAAGTTAATTTGGAAGTCAAACGATTTTATTCTGCAATGCGTTGTGGCTTCCACTCGACCGGATGTGGCTTGATCATACGGGGCAATTCTGGTCTGTTCTGTGTAATTTTATTCATGCAGAAAAATGCCTTCTTTTCGGGTCGAACCCCATGTTTCTGACTGGCGGGGTCTTGTTTCAATAAACCTACATTGGATCAAATAATAGAATGGCCATTCGGTTTTGGGGTCATATCTCCATACTACCAGTTATCTTGATCAACTTCTACGAGCTAACAAAAATATACAACGAGAGTGGTGATTGCATTGTTAAGTGGTTGCGTAATAAATCGGTCACTTTAGTGTTACGCATGTCACCAGATAGGTTGCCATGGCGAGCGATGTTCACCGAGGCAAGTAATGGGTGGAAGAAAGACAAGGGTGGTCAAGCTAAGACCCTAACCAGGAGTCCGGGTCACATAGGTCCCGTTAGGCTCCCTGACTGGGGACCTCGGGATGATGGTTACCGATGGTTAGAGACATTGAGTGATATGGTTGGGTGTCGTAAACAGTGGCGTTCATGCATCTTCTCAATTTATCTGTAACATCATTCCACTAAAATTCTTAATTTTCACTTTGATCCTACTTTCAAACTTCCTGTCTTTCTCCTAATATTCATCGAAATGGGCAGCCAACAGACAGTAACCAAAACCGGCGCACGATAGTGCATGAATAATCGTTATACAAACTGAACTGACCTGAGGTTACTTTGGGACCCGATCGCAGATGAAATGACTTATAACACAAATTAGACGACTTCCTTGGTCAACCGATCAAGTGATTTAGATGCAACGGGGCAAAAGTGAGATATTACCATCAAACAGGTCAGGGCGGTGGTGGCCCGGTGGTAACGTCACCAGATTATCACCCCGGAGGACGAGTGTTCGAATCCCATCACCACCACCTGACTGTCCCCATTTGTGTGTGTTGAATGGCAGCCCTTTGATTGGCCGCTTCCCTCTTCCTGAAATTTGTCTCTTTGTATGTTCAATAAAAGGAATTAAAATGAAAGAGAGAAAAAAGAAAAGAAGACAGATCAAGTGCAACCGTGACAAGACCCTGATTGCAATAAGAACTCTTTGCTCATCACATGCAGTGCCTATGGACGATCATGACAAATGGAGAGCCGATCTAGAAAATGGTCAAATAAGAGTCACTGAAAGGCAACTAGCGGGGACAATGGATGCTTGCAAGCGAATAAACTGCTGGTGCTGCTCACTTGAAAGTAAAGATTCAGTGCGAAATGTCTGGCATTATCAAAACGCACACATTCATTTGAGTGCGGAAAAACTGAAAGCTGAAACTACGATGAAACTGGAAAGCTCTGTTGGGCGGATATACATTAATAATTAATATTACAATACATACCAAAACTGAAGTACTGGAAAATAACACGGCCCTCATGATAGATAAC